GCTGCTACCAAGAATGATTTTGCTTTTTAATTTCAACCTCACAACATAGGATGATGTTGTCAGGTAACGGTTCTTCTGCAAGCCTCATGTGACTTGCATTATGATGAGTGCTTATAAGCATTGACTAAGCAACCTAGTTTTTGCATGTTAATTTTAACGTCCCTAAGCTCTCATAATTTTCTATTCATCTTGAGTTTAAAAAAATAAATGTTATTCAAGGAATACTGTGTGTTCATAATTTTGATAGATGCAGCTCTATGTTGATATTCTTTCCTGTGGAATGTTGACAGGTGTATACGTTCATTTCCTGGATAGCATTCTGGATTATTAACTATTTTAATTTTACTGTAGGAACTGTGGATAAAAAGTGCAGTAAGACATTATGCCCATACTGCAAGTGTTCTGTGAAGGATTGTGCTATTAAACAAACAAAAAGAGCACTTCAAAATTTAAATTTAAAATTTAATTTCAATTTAAAAATGAATATTTTGGTGCTAAAAATCTTGAAATTAATGTGTAATTTCTTCATATAATTACTGTAAGCTTTCAGAAAGCACCTCTTTTACGTATTTGCGTTGTATTCTAATTTCCCACATTTATAACTTGAAGAAAATATGTTCTGTAGCTCTGCTATTTTCAAAGTAGTAGCTCATTAGTTATAACTTACCTTTTCTTGGATTGAGAAGTCTTTGTTAACTCATTTACGATAGTCAGTTGATACGACCTTCATTTGATTCTTGTGCTTTTTGGTTTTTATGGTACCTGTGAATTCATGAAGACTGGAAAACTTGGGGTTTTTTTTTTTTTTCAAAGAAGGTAGCTTTTGTTAAGTCAAGTGCTTAAACATGGAGCAGATCCTTTCCTATTTCATTCTGTCATGTTAGAAATGAAACAACTAATATTCATCTTGCTATTTCCAATACTATACACTGCAGTTGCTATTCTTGGATATGATAAAGACTGTGTTGGACTCAGGTTCAACTAAGTCAGGATTGTAGCTAAGGTTTGCCATCCTCATTACATATTTGGTTTCTCTGAGCCTTGGTTTTTCTTCTGTTGGAAGGCAGTGATTTTTTTTCACACATGATTTGTGAGGATAGGAAGCAACAGATTGCCTAGGGTTGGGTGCTTTATCTGCAAAATCATATTGATGCTCAGGATAATATGGATTTTGGGCTACACAAGGAGCCAATGTTTGAAGATAAAAAGTTGTAATTAGTAATATATTGCTGTTGCAGTGCATCGTCTGTGTGAGGACTGAAATGAATTACATGTTAAGCAGTTAAAAGCGTATCTGCTTGTGTAATTCTTGTTAGACTTGTTAAGTGGTAAAAGTAAATTCTTATATTCTACAAATAATTCAGAAGATTTATTTTACTTCATATATGAATTCCCTTACTCTGTATTTTCATTTCTGGATATTTCTATATTTCCCATGATAAATCTTTAAAGCAGTTTATTATTATGTAATATTGTAATTTTTATGGGACACAGTATAATAATATAGCACAGGTTTACTGTGTTAATTGATCAAATTAGGTAATCAGTATTCCCATTTCTCTATCTTTTCCTTATGTTTGGAGTTTGATTCTCTTCTCTGCCTGTTACCCATATATAATACAGGATATCTTTGAAATCTGTAGCTACTACACTGTACTGGTGAGCACTTGACCTTGTTTTTTCCATCAAACTGTGATTTAGTGTGTGTTATCCTCCCCCCACTTTCCCTTCCCCAGTCTTTCTCTGCCTCTAACAGTCAATATCCAAGATAAATCTTATCATGACCTGAGTTCCTTTTTTCCCAGTAGCAGGATTTCCCAGATGAATATTAACTTTCAAATGATATCTTCCTGTTTGTTTTCATATTCCCCCTCTCTTAGGTAAAATAGAAAAAAAATACTTATTTGGTAACAAAACAGCCAAAAGTGGTATGATTTATGTCTGCAGCCCAACAGTCAAATTTTACATATTTTAGAAAGTAATTAATTCTAAAGTTCATAGCCAGGAATCCGGAGTAATTCTGTGGGGACCAGTATTCATCCTGCTTGACTTGTGCTATTGGAGGTTTGGCAGGAATGCTAAGCATCTGAACTCAATTCATCTGTCCTGTTGCATTAGAAAATTATATGAGTTGAGCATCCATTAAAATCCAGTAGCTTTATAAGTATGCATGATTTCTAGTCACTTAAAAGCCTAGATCATGGTGAAAATACCAGTAAAGTATGTTCAAATCATGGATCATCTTTTGCTTATATATGTAAGTTTTGAATTTATTAACAGGGTTGAATTTGTTTCAAAATTGAATGCCAATTTTTTAAGAAATCTAACAAATTGTTAATGTGTAATAAAAGATTTTGTCTAAGTGTTAGTATGCAAGAAAGGTAGAATGAGATTAATACATCTGTGAGGAGTACTTCCACTATGTGGAAACATAGTTCAGTTTTTTATTTTTGCCTTCCATGGAAAATAGTACTTTTATAAATACATCATGCATTGATTTATTCAAACCATAAGCATTTGGCATTGTTATTCAATCAAGTATGGCATTATCACTATAATTTAGCATTACTTGACATTTTTGAAGTTCAATAAGCTTGTTTATATTGATAAATTGTAAGGTGTTATATTACACAAATGCAACAAAATTGATATACAAAATATATCTTGCATGATGGAGTCACATTTATTTTGAACTTTGAGTATTTTCCAAGCAACAGTTTTAATGAGACATTTTTACGTATTGGAAAATTAGAGTTGGATCCAAGATTCATCTTTGTCCATTCTTTTTTTTTATCTTTGTTTTTGGACCACATTTTACTTGAAATTAGTCTCAATATTAAGGAGTATGGACTAGTTAAAATTGATGAGGGAGGCAAAAGAGTATATTCAGAAGATGTAATTATGAATGGACAGCATTTATTTGTGTCTTCCATAGACTGGATTTTGCTTTAGAAATGTCACCTTTTCTTATGAGGTATAATATACCACTTAATTTTACATATAAGTTACAAATCCTAAAACTGCTAAAAGCAAGCTTTAAGTTTGATTGAATTATACTCATCTGTAATCTCCCTGTGTAAACTGTGAGGCTGTGCAGGCACCCAAGCCCTGGGCCATTATCTGCTTTCTCAGGCACATTAGTGGGGAACTGGATTAGAAGTGGAACAGTGAGACTTCAATAGGCACCCTCAGTGGATGCTTATGTAGTAGATGCTTGTACAGTAGATGATAGCTTTTTACACCGTGCCACAGCTCTGACCTTACCCGTTTTGTATTGTTACCATACAGAATATCCCACATTTCCATTGTTCATATACTGCTAACCTGTTATTTTATAATGAAAGTGCAATCTCTTATGACTATTTTTTTGTAGTCTAATTTTTAGGCTTTAATGAGTAATAACCCTAACAGTCCTAAATAAGAGAGAAACTAACTTCATGCTAATATATGAAAATATACCAATGTTTCCTAAACATTCATCTGGTCCTTTCTGCCACGGAAGTGTTTATACCATTTGTTCCTCTATTTTTACTTTTTTTTTTTTTACTTATAAGAGTAGCAAAATTCATGGATTTCAAAAATATAGGAACAATTCAAAATTTCCCCTTTCATCCTTCCTGCCTACTTCATTTCCAGACTTTCTTCTTCTTTGCTCATTTTCTTTTAATTTTTGCACTAACATATTTTGAGTTTTTAAAATCACAAGCTTAACCATCCACTAAACGAAGCACTCAATAAGTAGCATGTAGGAAAACCACGGTTTCTCGGGAATATATACAGTAGTTATAAACATTATTGAATCTCAAAATGTCAAATTTCCCTACAAACATTATATTCTGTATTTTTTCTTTTTATATTGTTGTTGTTGTTTTCTATGGTATAGTTTGGTATAGGTATAGGCATAGGGATTACTTCCTACCTCACCTCCCTCCCTATTTCCTCTCCCACAGCATCTCCTCATGTTATCACGGTAGTATTGTTGTTTAGTAAGTTACAATTTTAGAATTCTGCTACTTAAGTATATAATGGCATTGAAGGTCAAAGCAAAGACGGAAAAATCCAATATAATACTGTCAAGGTATATTTAAAAGATTCATTGGATTATTTTTGTTTTTTTATTTAATTCATTCAAAGACCATTTTTTGTTTTTCTTATTAATTTCTTCACTGACTCGTAGATCACACAATAGCCATTTGCTTCAGGAATGTCTTGGATTTTTTCATTTCTTCACCACCACATTGGTCATTTAGTAGCATGTTATTTAAAATTAGATTGCTGTGTATTTTTTATTTTTCTCTCTGTTGATTTGGTTTTATGGCTTTTTTTATTTAAGGGGATGTATACTAACTGTGCAGTAGAGACTATCAGCTACAGTTATGTCGATGTGATGCAGTTTGCATTTCTACTTATAAATCAACGATGGACTCCAATGAAACTGTTGAATGTATTTTGACTGTAGCATGCTGTACTCTCTGCTATTATCCATTATTACAATGTCAGTATGTACTTAAATAGCAGAATGATGGACTTATGACTGATTGTGAAGGATTATATTATTGTAACGACATGGTAGAAATTAGAGAAGCGAAGGTGCAGGGAGCTGGCAAGGTGGGGGAAAGGAAATCCCAGAGCCTATGCAACTGTATCATGGAATAATGAAATAAATGATTAATTAATTTTTATAAAAGAAAATAAAGAAAAAAAATCCTACTGTCTGAGACCTGACACATTACCAATTGCAGTATATGTGATGCTTAAAATGTGAGAAATATCCTGTGATGCCATGATGGATAGATTTCCATGTTCCTTTCCAATTTAAGAACTTCAGGACCAGTGAGTTACAAAATGCACATGGTTGGAAACTGAAGCTCAGCTTTGGTAAATGAAAAACCTTCTTGTTGATTTAAACTTTAGTACGTGTAGTTGAGTTATATTCCTAATATTTTAAAAATGGATTCATAAACATTTCTCTTTAGATTTTTTCCTCTGTTCTGTTTTAGATGGAGCTTGCTAAAGAAGAAAAATGTGAATTTTTGCCTTTCCTTTCCCCACGGAAAGTGATAGTAAAAGGTGGAAGAATTGTTGCCATGCAATTTGTTCGGACAGAGCAAGATGAAACTGGAAAATGGCATGAGGATGAAGATCAGATAGTCCGTCTGAAAGCTGACGTGGTCATCAGTGCCTTTGGTTCAGTTCTGAGCAATCCTCAAGGTAGAGTGCTTAAAAGCTGATATGTATTGGTGGAATTGTCTGTTGTCTTATGCTTTATAATTTCCAGCATTCGGGGAATTATTTTTACTTTTGACATTTATTGCTTTCTTATAATATGAAGTGCAAGCAATTTTGATTTTAAAAAGCTAGCAAATGGTAATCATTGCTTATGTAGAATTGTTTTTAAAGTGGTAATTTTTGACAATAACATTAATCCTTTTTTAAGTGGATATCAAAAATAGATATTCTACTTTCTGATAATGTTTGTCTTGTTTCCTAAACAAGAATGTCTTTTTTCTTTGGTTATACTCAAATAAGAATGCGTGTTAGAGACTAAGGAACGGCCAGTAGATCTAATCAACAGCTAAAACATGGAATTCGTGTTTATTATTATCCTCAGGACAAGCCATCACTATAAACATCAAAATGATCTTATGAAAAATTAGAACTGCTGCCATTTTGCCATTTTACCTTGAGAGTGTAAAAGGATATGGTTAGGGAGAAGCTCAACACTTTAAAAATAAGAGAAGGAAGTATTTTGTACAACATTGCACCTGAATAGTTAGTATATACAATCAGCTTTGCTGTGTGCCTTAGTAAATTGGAGCTTGATAACCAACGTAGTTAAAATTCTTGACATAAACTGTTGAAATGACAACTACATCTTATGTACTGAAAGGAAAATAAAAGACATTCGTTTGCTCTAAGATGAATTAAGGAAATCAATTACAATAAAGCAATCCTAAATGTCGATTCTTCTCTGACTTCCTCCTATACCTATGTTAAAATTACATTTAGTCTCTGAAATAAAAGGCAATATATATGTGTACAAATGTGGGTTTATATGCAGCAGATAAGTAGAACAATCCAGCCAGTCATCAGGGTAGTTTTTCTGCAGGATATCAAGTATCTTAGTATTTGGAAACATCCAGATGTTTAATGTTTTCAAGATAAATTCTTTCAAATAGCTGGGTGATGACCAGAATTTGTCGATTTTCATCTAGATGTTTTTGGGATATGTAGACACACTCACAGAATAGTCTGTATTTATTAACTATGTTCCACAAGGAAAAGAGAATAATAAATGCATTGTTATCTAAGCTATCATATTGTACTTAAATACACTGCACATTACCATAAACTGAGTAAACTGAATCATGTTTAACTAGCAATTCTGGTGATGCTTCACCAATCAACAAAATAATTTAGGGACCAGTGCAGTGGCTCAACTGCCTAATACTCCACCTTCAAGTGCCAGCATCCATTTGGGCACCAGTTTATGTCTCAGGTATACCACTTCTCTCCCACCTCCCTGCTTGTGGCCTGGGTAAGCAATTGCGCATGGCCCAGTTGTTTGGGAACCTTCACCCATGTGGAAGACTTGGAAGAAGTTCCTGGCTCTTGGTTTCAGACTGGCCATTGCACCCCTTTAGGAAGTGAACCAGCGGATGTAGGACCTTTCTCTGTCTCTACTTTTCCCTGTAAATCTGCCTTTCCAATGAAAATGGATGATTTTTTAAATTGAAAACATAATAATTTAGCTTACCTATCTGAATTTATGGTTTACAATTAACAATCCTAATATTAAGGAAAATATATCTGTATAAAAACCATTCTGTGAATACATGACTCAGAAAATAATAGAATATTGTTTTAGCAAATTCAGATGCTAAATGTATGTGTGTGTGCACTTTTGTATATCTGTGAAGCATAGGGATCTAACTTTCTGTTTGAATCTAAATATTTGCATTTAGTTGCATTTATTTTGAAAATTCATTACAGAATTTGTGTATTTATTCATATTTACTTGAGTGTTTCTTTTAGTGCTCTGTGTGTGGAGTTTAGGAAGACAAAACTATGTATTTTTTTTACTCTCTCCAGATTTGAAATGACAAACTAGAGAAATTCCCCTTAAATAATGTTACCTGTTTCATGAGGACCTTTTACTATGTTCATTAATAAGAGGATGCATTTCAAATGAGAAGGCAACAACAATAACTAGAATGTAAAGTGGCACTCAGGTTTCTACTGCCATACACACATGTTCAATGATGTGTGCATGGATGGATGAGATAAAACAAAGAGGGAGGAGGAATTAGTATCTCAGATGACTTTTAAAATCTTGAAATAATAATTTGACAGTTTGAAAACTTTCCCATGCACACTTTTATTTATTTTCCTCTGAGAACTGGTTTATTGGAAGCCGTTTTTGGGAAGAAGGGACAATATTTGTGTTATCATTCTACTCCAAATTTTGTTCACCCCAGTAAATATGCAGTATAATTACTGTGTGATACATGTGTGTTCAAAACATACGTGATACCTCTTTTACTATATTTACCAGTAATGCCTTAAAGTGTTGACCTCTCCCCTCCTCTTCCCTTCTCTCAAACCTAACTTTGCGTTTGCTCAGGGAACCGCATGCCATGTACACTGACTTATTTCCAGTCATTTTTACAGTTTTCCGTGTTTGATAGTGTGAAATATTTCTTTCTGTTTGAAATGCTTTACTCCAAGCCCTCTAACCTTTTTCAAACTCAGTTTTGTCATTTCTTCCCCTCTCCTTCCCTCCCTTGCCTCCCTTCCCCTCCTTGCCCTTCCCTTCCTTTCCCTACCCTGCCCTACAGTGGGCTATCTTTTCTTCCTATCCTTCAGGATAAGTCTCAGAATTACAATTCGGGAAATGAAATGTCTGAGCCGTATTGTTATTTCTGCCACTTTTTTCTTCCATTTTTTTATAAGCTGTTTCATTCCAAACTTGCCACGGACTTCTTTACTTAGTCCAATTCATTATAAACACTTGAGTTTAGATATTGCTGTTTTTTTTTCTTTTAAATATATTTATTCTTTCAAGTAATTGAATGCCTCATTCATTCATTCACAAATGCATTCATTGTTTGAAAAATATGAATTGACATTTTCTTGATGTCAGACAATGTCTACTTTATGGTAGATTTATTTCATTTCTGTGTAAAATGATCTTGAAATCTAGTTCTCTACTTTCCATGCCTCAGAAGTTCTTTCATCCCATTTTTGTGTTCACACACGTAATACATAGTTACACAATGTCTGGTCAATGCTAAGTTCCAAATTGTGTTTTGAGTGGGAGATCTCTGAACAATAAGTTGTAGTTTAAAGTGAAGAAAATATTGTGAGGATAGATCCAAAATCAGGAATGTTCACCAAATCTGATTTCCCTGAAACAGAAGTCACTTCTTTACTATTTTATACATGCCATACTGCCAACTCCAGATACTTTTGATTCAAAAGTTTAATTTCAGTTTTTCCTTTTTATTAAACTCAGCTTAATTGTTTACACTATAGATAAGACATCTTCTCTTGAATATCTGAGATGTTTAGTGAGTTAGATGTTATGTACCCAGATCTACTTTCCGCCATACAGTGTGTAATTACCTAGTATCTAGTATGTGACAGACTCTGAAGAGTGGCAGCTATGAACATCTTTAGTGAATGCTATACTCAGCATGTACTGAAGAATTCAAGGAATGCAAAGAACACATAAAGTACAGTAGCAGTTTGTACTCTTGACAGTTTGATTATGTTTTAAGTGAGCATACTTTAGAAATTAATTAATCATATGTATTTTAAAAGATAATCTGTGTTGAAAACTTAAAGGAAAATCATTTTATTTTCTGATTTAGTGAATGTTGTTTAAAAGCCCATGAAATATTCTGTTTCACAATGAAAAATATTAACATTATCTATTATCATGTGCCCATCATACCTCTGATTGGACAAAATGAATAACAGGTGATTGAATCATATGTGATTCAGTAGTTTACAAAAGAGAGAGGTATAATATTTTTATGCAGTAATGTGAATATTGTTGTTGGATTACGATTGGTAATAAACTCATTGCTTCTAAGACTAATGTCAATAGTAAATAATCATTCATATTTGTCCAATTTTGTTCTTATTTGTAACTTTTTTGAATTGTAGCAGTGGATGAGAAATTGGAACAAAAAGCTGGGCATTCTACTTCTCTATATGTAAAATATATGCATGTTTGTGAACAATTTATTTGAACCTCTGTTGATTACTTTTTCAAATTCTTATAGCAATATTGTCCATTTTTAACTTAACTGAAACCTCAATCTTGGCCATATTTAATATTTTCCTATGGAGAATTCAAAGTAGCTGCACCTTTTAAAACTTCTATACTCCATCTAAGTATTTAAGATTCCATATCATATCAAATTGTGATTTTATTGTTTTTAATTGATTCTTAAATGTTTATTTTTACTTATTTGGAAAGGATAAAGGAGGTAGGATGGAGATAGAGGAAAAAAAATTTCTGTCAGCTGATTTACTCCCCAAATACACGAAACATTCAGGGCTGACAATATTTGAGTTAGGGACCTAGAATTCCATCTTTCTCCCACACGGGTAGCAGGCACCCAAGTGCTTGAGCTGCTACCTGCTGTCTCCCAGGTTGTGTATTAAGGAAGTTGGATTGACGATAGAGTAGCCAATACTGAAATCGGGCACTCTGATATGGGAGGTGTGCAGTCCAGGACAGGAATTTGTTAATTTTGCTCCAGTGCCCTTTATACTGAGTATAAAGACTCTTTTAGAGTCTGACATGTGGAAGCTGGTTAAGACACTTGCTGCAACACGGTTGTCTCATAGGAGCTTTGGTTCAGCTCTGAGCTGCTCCATTTCTGATCAAGCTCACTGATAATGTTCCTGGGAAAGTTGTAGAAAATGGCCCTAGTGTTTAGGGCCCTGCCAAACATGTGGAAAATTTGGATGGAGCTCAAGAATTCTCTCTTTGGCCTGGCTAATCCCTGCCTGTTTTGGGCATTTGCAGTGTGAACCAGTAGATGGAAGGTGGTTTCTTGATTTCTTCTCCATCTCTCTGTGTCACTGTGTGTGTGTGTGTGTGTGTGTGTGTGTGTGTGTGTGTGTGTGTGTGTGTGTGTTTGCACGTGCTTCTCCCTTTCAGTAAGGTGCTGGTGAAATATCAATCTTTGAAAAAA